GGATGGCACCATCTGTGTTTTTGATGTAGATCGTGCCAAATTTCTTCATCATCTGGAGGGCCACTTCATGCCTGTGAGGTCTCTTGTGTATTCTCCAATGGATCCACGTGTACTGTTCTCTGCATCAGATGATGCTCATGTGCATATGTATGATGCCGAGGGAAAAAGTCTGATTGGGGCCATGTCAGGCCATGGTAGCTGGGTACTGACTGTAGATGCAAGCCCAGATGGAGCAGCTATTGCAACAGGCTCCAGTGACCGGACTGTAAGACTTTGGGATCTTAAGATGAGGGCAGCTGTTCAGACAATGAGCAACCACACAGACCAGGTCTGGTCAGTGGCATTTCGCCCCCCAGGGGGCACAGGTGTCCGGGTGGGTCGCCTTGCAAGTGTATCAGATGACAAAAGCATATCGCTGTATGATTACTCATAAGGCTCTCTGTCGTAGTACTGAGAATATCAATTGTTTGTATCATTTAACATAAGACAAGATGTTATTTAGTTCTTTTGTGTCTCAAAAAAGTTCTTTTGTGTTGCTGATTAAAACGAGCACTATACAGCATTTGGCTTTAGATCAACTTTAGCCCCCTTTAAAATCCAGTTGTAGAAATTTCTAACTTTTAGTAAGTCCTTGTAAACTACAGGATATAAGTAAATCAAATCAACCAGAGGATAATGAAAACTGCCCTGCGTATGTCTACTGTCAAAAGGTTTATTAAACCTCAATGCAGGATCCTTGTGTCATAATGCTGTTGAACCTTACGATTTTCAATTGACTTCTATCTATGAGATCATAGACATGCCTAGCTGCCCAGTCTCACTCAAAATATTTAAAAATTTAAACAAAAATAATTGCAGATACAACAGGTTCAATCATTCAAGAGTTTTTCAGCGGGTATTTGATTTACAGGAGCATTAACTCGGGATGCATTTATAAGCCATATATTGTTCTGTAATTCCAATTGATTGGCTGGCTGAAAGGAGGGGCCAAATGAATTAACCTTCTAACATAAATTATGAGCAAGTACGGCAACAGCCAGAAATGGGTTGTAACATTCCTCGCTAATCTACTCCATCACATTCCAAATTAGCAAACATTACATCACAAGACAAAGCAATACCCAGCTGCCTACTCATATGTGTTTCATGTAAGCCATAAGATCGATTGGATAACCATTATTTCCAAAGCCTAAAAACAACCGATACATTTAAACTGTAATCGTAGTCCATTTCACGTTTAAATATCATTTGTTTGCATCGCATGTTCATTTCATTAGAAGGCAAGGGAAGAACTACATGTTGTGAGAGCAGCAGAGACCAATTGAGTATGAGCTTACTACTGGCTTCACTGTC